CTCACTCGCGCCTCTCTGCCCCAAGGTTCGAGGGCCTCTGCCTCCTCTCGCTGCTGGTCACGGAGAGCAGCTCGGAAGCCTTCTCGCAGAACTGCCTGAGCTGGCTGCGCAGCCTGCAGCACCTGCTCCAGGTGAGTCGAGGCGGACGGCGCCCCGGGCCTGCTCCTGCGCCCCCGGGCGCCTCCCCGGAAGGCCTTTCCCGCCCCGGGGTTCTGCCTGTGCCGTGAGGGCAGATGCGGGGGTTGGGCGGCGGACGAGCTCCGCCCCACCCGCCTTCTTCCTTCCCATGAAGTCCCAGGATCCACCCGCCACCATGGAGTTGGCCGTCCTCGTTCTCCGGGACCTCTTGCAGTATTCCTCCCAGCTTCCGGAACTGGCCCGGGACATTGGCACCAATCACATTCCTGGACTCCTTACCTCTTTGCTGGCCCTCAAACCAGAGGTGAGACCCCTCCCCAAGCTGGGTGACCCTTCCTAGAAGGCCCGCTCTCTGCTGACCTCTTCCTTCCCTCGCCTTTGCTCAGTGCCAGCTCTCTGTCCTGGAGGGAAGTAAAGCGTGCATGGTGTTTTATCCCCGAGCCTGTGGCTCCTTGCGAGTAAGTATCTGGGCCTAGACTGCTGCTGATGGTACTATGCGTAGCCGCTGCTCCTGGATCCCTGCTCACTGCTTCCCCTCTCCTATCCCAGGGCAAATTGGCGGCCTATTTCCTGTCTTGCGTGGATGCAGAAGCGCCTCACCTGCAGCAGGTAAAACTCTGGTCTGTGGGTACCGTTTGGTACTTTTGTGGGAGAAGGGGGATTATAATTATGCTGACGCTGTTGGTGTCAGAAGTCAAAACGTTGAAGTGTTTCTGGTCGCTGAAGTTCTTGGTTGCACGACTGGCTCGCAGGGCAAGTGGCGCTTCTAAACCATCAATAGTCACCTCACCAGGATGGGTATTGAGTGGTAACGTCAGTCGGAGCTGAGTGGGTGTGGCTGCCTGGTGACCTCGTCAAGGATCAGCAACCCTGGAACGTCATGGTCGGAAGCAAAGTGGGGTTTGCCTCGTCCAGCCCCCAAACAGATGGCCACCCAGCCTCTGATTCAACACCTCCTGAGGAAGCTGGTTCCTACCTCCCTGAAGAAACGCTTCTCGACAGCCGTGCAAAGTCTGCTGTCTTCTGCACAATAGCTCGACACAGCTATTGTGGGGGCTTGTAGGGGTTTTTTTCCTCTCTGACCTGAACGTGCACGGCGTTTGTCTCGGTTTCTCGTAAGGCGTTTCTTTTTGGGATCAATGCAAAATACTGTACAGGAAAGCGACCGTCTTGGTTCAAGTTAATGTAATTTTGTGGAATTGTATTTGCTTTTCTTCTGCAGCTGTATTCAGCTGCTGGCCCATGTTCAGCCTGTGATCACCAAGGAGCCCATGTGGCATAGCCCGTGCTACGCTTGTGATTTTGCCTCCCCAGTTGCAGGAAGCACTGTGAGACCCCCATACAGGGAGTCCTGGAGATGAAAGGAGGCCGTGAAGCCATCACATCCGGCTTCTGCTCCAACGTCCGGGCCCTCCATTGCCTAGTCCACCGTTCTCGTCTTAGGGAACCAGGGTGGCGCTTCCACTGAGCCGCAGAAGGGAGCTGCTCGGATAATCCCCACTGCCTCTTTTCCTCCAGCTGGCCTGCGAGTGCTACGCGCTGCTGCCTTCTCTGGGCGCAGGTTTCGCACAGGGACTCAAGTACCGGGAGTCCTGGGAGCAGCAAGTTCATTCCCTTGTGGCCACGCTACACCGCTTCCTAGGCACTCTCTACGAGGGGGCAGAGACAGGTGAGTGGGTGCGGCCAGAGGGGTGGGTTCCCCAAGGGCCAGCGGGAAGGGGGTGTCACAGTAGAGAAACAGTGGCTGGTTTCCCCCTCTGGCTTCCTTTGGTGTCGTGCATAAGAATTGCTGCGACGGGTCAGGCTGAAGGCCTGTCTGGGATGTGGCTTCCAACAAAGGTCAGCCTCAGGCTGGGCTGGGGAAGCACTTGAGGACCCCCCCCATTTTCCCAGCAGCTGGAAATGACCCACACTGCCTTGAATCTGGGAGCAATAGCCCCGCAACTAGTGGCAGAAGATACCTGGGGCATCTTGGGCATCAAGGGTCTGAGCCCCCCTGAATTCCCCCAGCATGGGTCACAGCCATAACTACGTTTGGGGACGTTCTGCCCTGTGCATAAACGGGTCCTCCCTTGCCTTGTCTTGGCATCTTTTTAACTGCATCAGATGCCCCAGCTGCTGCCTGGAGCCTCCCCCCCCCGGCTTTCCTGGGACTGGAGGAGCTCCGGAGATTGGATTTGTGGTGGTGGAGGAGAGAGGGACCCCCCCCATGTGGCAGGCCAGCTGGAGGGGAGAACGGGGGCTTCTGTGCTGCAGCCTCATTGATTTTGAGCTTCAGGACCACTGGCCCGGTTACTGTTTTGTCGCTGGTATACGAGCCGCGTCGGCAACGCGTCGTCCGTGTACGAATACTTTTGTTGATCCTGTAGGAATCCATTTTGGTTTGCGTGACAATGTTTCCGTTTGATGTTTACGGATGTCGCTTGTGACGCTAACGCTGGGGAGTCTGGTTAAGTGCTTAGTTGACAAGTTCTCTCTTTCTGGCTGTGGCGTTGCGGTGAATTGGCTTGTTCCCAAGGGGATCAGAACTGAATGTTGTGTAAAGAACACAACAGATGCTTGGTGCAATTATCCATCTAAACGAGGAGACTCGAGCTGAAAGCCCTTCATTCGATGTCGGCTAACGTGTCTTTTGGATCACCTTTTTCTACGCTCGCCTCTGGGAATTATAAAGATCTGCAGCCGTTTGCATGCCCTTCAAAGCAGAACTTGCGATTCGGCCGTTTCTTCCCGCAGGTGGCTGGTCTGCCTCTGCTCGAGCAGCTGGTCCACCAGAGGGGAGCCCCCATATCTCTGGGCGCCCAATGAAGCCCAAGTTACTTGGTTTGAGTCCAGCTTGCGTTCCCATCTGGGGAGGCCTGGGGCAGCCAATCGCCCAAGGTTAAACCGAGAACCGGAAAGTGGCTGGTGAAGCTTTGTGCCCCCGCTCTTCCCTCCAGAATCTCTGCACTACGACGGGCCTGGAGCGGAGATGCTGCTGCCACCGCGGGACGAAGAGGCGAACTTTCTCCTCCTCGTCAAGTACCGGTTCGCGGGTTTGGCCAAATGCCTCTGCAGGATGCTAAGGTGCAGACTTTCCCCCTGGCACCCTTTCTCTCTGGCTGCTTCTGCCGCCAGCAGGTGTGGTTTTAACGCGCGCACCTCCCCTGCTCTTTCAGCAACGACTTTGGAGCTCCTGTTGCAGTTCCTGCCCAGGCCATCCTAGACCTTGTTTGTCGAGTTCTTGACGTCTCTGCAAAGAACATTGTGAGTGCTTGAGGATGTCCTTTTCTCCCCGTCTGTCTCGCGTCTGCAGGCATTAATGGAGACAGAGCTGCTCTCAGCACTGAAACTGCAAGGGCTCCGCGCTGGTCTTGGGGGGCATTGGGTGGGATTGGGTTCACTCAGAGAAGGCTTTCTTCAGAGTTCCCCTGCAGGCCTCTTTTTGGGAGTTGAACAGACAGCTTTTGCAAGGCTTTGCGCTTAGAGCTGGCCGTGCCCATTCTGTGCAAATCAGACGCCCTGGAAGCAGTGAGGAAGGGGAGCTCCCCCCGGGAGGGGACATTAAGGACAGCAGCCCCTCGTTGGCTGACCTTCCATCTGCTTTCAGAGCTGGTTTGGCGATGGGCCCCTCCGGATGCTGCTCCTCCCCTCGGTCCACCTGGAGGCCCTGGACCTCTTGGCTGCCCTCATCTTGGCGTAAGTCTGGGCGGAGAAGGGGCTGGGGACCTGAAGGGTGGTGCCAGATCCCCAAACAAGGCCGCTTCTGTTTTCTCTTTCTCTGCAGTTGTGGCCCTCGCTTGGTGAGGTTTGGGGGAGTCCTCTGCCGCCTCTTCCCCCAGGTCCTGAACATGTGGCGCGCCGGCCAGGATCTCTCTCCTGGGCTGGAGCGGCCGTACAGGTTGGTGGGGGGCCTCTGGGGCCGGCTGCCAGTCCCCCTGGCTAGCAGCCCACCTTGTGGGGAGACACTGGGCTACTGCTGGCCCCTTTGCTGCAGCAATGTCTGCTTGAGCCTTGGACCCTTAGTTCCCACTATCTCAGCTGTGCTGCTCTGGCCACAGGGCACAGCCTGGGAAAGCCAGCTGGCCACCTGTGATTGGCGCTAGTAGTCCCTCCACTCTGTCCCTGGGAGGAGCAGCAGAGCGGGCTGTTCTCTTCTCCCACGGCCTGATCCTTCAGCTGGAGCTGCTGCCAGGGACGAAGCCTGACCAGGCTGTGTCCACCCTGGGCGAAAGCGTGATGAGGAAATCCCCCATCTCCTCAGCGCGGTTCGGGCTCGCCTGTACCGGATCCTGGATCTCTGGGTGCAAGTGACTGGAGCAGCCTCTGGGGTCTTGCTGGGGCACGGCAGCCAAAGCGAGGCCTTGCTGGGACACTTGATCAACGACATCAGCCCCCCCAGTGACACCCTTAAGGTGAGACTGCCACCCCCTTCCACCTCTTCCCCTTGGGGGTTACCTGGGATAATAAGGGCTGCGTTCCCTGACCCTCTTTGCCCTGTGCTCTCCAGATCCAGCCGAGCGCTGACTCAGAGGGGAAGCCCAGCGCTGCCAAGAAGCCCAAACTGTCTGCTGTGGGAGGCCTTGTGACCCTGCTCCGCAAGCACGATCCCCAGGCCAACAGCGATGTGTGCCTTGCGGCCTTGCAAGGTAATGCTTCTCCCCCGGGGCTCTTCCTGGAGTTGGGCCACCTTTGAGGTTCTAAATGCAGAGTCCCTAGAAGGCCCAGCCCACCTGATGAGGACAGAGGTTGGCCAGGGGGAACCGGACATGTCTCCCTCCCTCCTTGCCTCTTTCTAGCCACTCCCACTGGCAGCTCTCCTCTGCCTGCGTCTTCTTGAAAGGGGCCAGCAGTCGTAACGCATCTGGGCCTGGAGTCAGGACAGTCCCACCCTCCAAGCCAAACCTCCTCCCTTTTTCCAGGTCTGAGCCGTGCCGTCCTCCTCTCTGGCAGCCTTATGAAGGAGCAGGTCCACGTGGTGAGCCGGTCAGATCTCTCTCTCACGCCCCCTCCTTCCCTGCCTGCTCCTGGGGATGCCACAGCCTCAGTCATCCAAGTACAGGAGGGTTATGGGAGGATGGTGAAGGCTGCATGGAAAAGGCAGATCTTGGGAGGCCTGTTGCCAGGGACAAAGGTCTGCCTTTGTTTGGAAATTGACAAGTGGAAGGCCCGTTGCGCGTGCCGCTCTCGGAAGGCATTCTCAGGTCTTCCAAGCGTACAGAGCAGCTCACTGTTTTTGGAGGTTGGGGAGGGTGTCCCCCATCCTCCTCCCTGCTGCTGCTGAGAGGCTGTTGCCCTGTTTCTTCCTCCCCAGAGGTTGCAAGAGCTGGTGATCCCACTGCTGATCCGGCTGGGCCAGGCTGAGTTGCCCCACGGGTCCCCGTACGCCAGTGCCAGCTGCCGTCGTGAGCTCTACCAACTCCTGCTGGCCTTGAGCCTGGCTCCCGCCCCTTCTTGTCCCCCTCCTCTGCATTGCACCCTCCGGCTGCTGAGCCAAGGGCGCACAGATCCCAACCTTCTGGTGAGGCGCCTTCCTCTCCCTGAGTGTCTTGCCCTCCCCCAGTGGGAGATCGAGGAATCCCTCACTTAGCTGGGGTGAAGCAGGCAGCACTATCCCCCAAGACCCTCCCCTTTTGTTGTTTGCAAGTCTGGGGGTTCAGGCTGGACATCTGTGTCGCCAGGAGCCTTTGTAGCTCCCCTTTGTCTTGTCCTGGAGAGCAGGACTCCAGAGGCCCCTGTATTGGTGGCAGTGGGTTAGACACATCTCTGGGGCTGTTGGGTAGGGTATTCTGCCCCACCGCCGTAGGGGACGGCTGTAATCTCCTCCTGCCCTGAATTCCATATTCTCTAAAAGCAGCTTTGTCCCGCAGGTCTCATCTTTCTGCACAGAGGCGGCCATCATCTGCAATTCCCTCCTTCACCCTAGGGTGCCATCCTTGCAGCTCCCCCTGGCTAGCCCATCTGCCCACCTGCCCAGCTCCTCGGAGGTCTCCCCTGCTGCGGCTGCCGCCACCGTGTCCCCCTTCTGCCCAGCACTCTCACTGTCCTTCCCGGCCGCCCGGCCCCCACCTCCGGCTCCAGCCCCTATGCCTCTCCCTGCCAACTCACTGGGCCTACCCCTGCCCAGGCTCGCAGCCACCCAGCTCCCCCCTCGCCTTATCCCCGAGGACCCTGCGCCACCTCAGTCTCCTGGCACAGCAGAGGCGGCTGCCTTAGCCACAGGAGCCAAGCTACGGCGCTCTGTCTTCATCCATTATGACAAGGAGGAAGAGGAGGACGTGGAGATCTCTCTGGAGAGCGACTCGGATGACAGCGTGGTCATCGTGCCCAAGGGGCAGCTAGGGAAAATGGCCAGCACCCTTGGCTCTGGTGCAGTCCCAGTGACTGCTCCAGCCCCCGCCCCCCTGCCCGCCCCCTCTGCTGGCCCTCCTCTTCCTGCGTCCCCCTTGGTGGCCTGTGAAGAGGCCCCCTTGGAGCCCCCTGCGTCCCTTCCCCTGGGGGTCCCACCGCCTCCCTCAGCAGCAGTGCTCCCACCTTCCCCAGTCGCGGTTGCTGGTGAAGCCCCCATTCCTGCTCTTCTGGAGGAGGACCCCACTGTCATCAACATCAACAGCAGCGAGGAGGAGGAGGAAGAGGAGGAGGAAGAGGAGGAAGAGGACTTCCCTGAGGATGAGGAGTACCTGGATGAGGAAGAGGAAGAGGTAAGGGTGAGGCTAGAGAGAAGTGGTGGCACCTGGCCCCAAAGCCCACTGCTGCCTGAGTGACTCCCAGTGTAACCCCCCGGTTTGGGGTTGGGAGTCAAGTGTCCCTTGGGGAAGTGTGGTGTCGGCAGAGCCCACGGGTCTCGCCCTTGCAGCGTGGCTCCCACGTGGGTGTGGCAGGCAGCTGTCCTTCGGCAGGGGCTTTGCAATTGCTAGTGAGAAGCAGTGTGCATGTACTTTAAGGGGTTCAAAAGCTTTCCCCCTTGGCTGGCCAGGAGGAAGAGTTTGACGAAGAGGAGGGGGAGTTTGAGGAGGAGATGGACGAGGAGGAGGAAGAAGATGATTTTGATGAAGAGGAGGGCCTGACGGAGGAGGAAGAGGAGGAGGAGGAGGAGGAAGGCCTGACTGAGGAAGAGGAAGAGGAAGAGGAGGAAGAGGGGCTGCCTCCTACTTTGCCCCGTAGGAACGATGATGAGCCTCCAGCGCTCTTGCCCGTGAAAGATGGGCCGCCCAAGCTGGAGGAGGAAGAGGAGGAGGGGGCCGGGCTCCTTATGGAGGTCGACGAGGAAGCCTTCCATCCCGCTGAGGAGGAGGAGGAAGAGGAGGGAGACCGGACCGTGGGGGCCCTGCTGCTGCTGAAGGCGGAGGACGCAGTCTCGCCTCTGCTCCCTGGGGCCCAGCCCCTCCCTCAGCCTGCCCTGCAGGAAGGGCCCTCCCCGCTTGCTGCCCCCGTGGACCAGGAGGGTCGCTCCGAGGAGAAGGAGGGTGCAGCGGAGGCGGCCTCTGCAGCTTCTCTGCAGCAGGAGGAGGCTGTCCAAGCAGGCTGCAGCGGGGAGCATGCGGAGGCTGGCCCAGAGTCAGGGGCCGGGCAGGGGGAGTCAGAGAAGCAGCTGCTGCAGCCGGACGAAGAGGTGGTAGAAGTGAAGGAGGAAGAGGTGAGCGCTGGAAGTCCTGCCTGGGCGGGAACCCGGAGGCGGTTGCGTGGGTGGGGCCCCCATGCCCCCCGGGCACCCGCTCTCCCTGTTGGGAGGCTTCTCGTAATGTCAGAATTTGACCGGTGCAAAGGAGAGGGTGCTGTGGCACTAATGGTTGTGGCACGGGGGCATGGGCTAGCCTGCTCCATGGAACAGAACGGAGGCTCAGGCTTCAAAGCGCAAGGACAAGGCGCGGCCCCTCTGCCTGCCTGCAGAAGCCAGTACGCACCCACAGCTAATGATGCTGACCCCGATTCTGGAGCCACGCTCCATATTTGAGGGCAGAGTGGCCCTGCCCCTCGCTCGTGCCTCTGCTCGGCTGCGCTTACGGCAAATCTGACTTTGCCCCGCTGGCCCTTACTCTGGGAGGGGGCTTAAAAAACAGTGCACAACCCTCGACTCCTGGTAAGTCTCTGGATGCGTCCGGGTGAATTTGTCGGCAGTGCTGAAGGAATTGTTCCACTGCTGTCTTTTTCTGTGAAGGCTTTTTGGCTTCCTCACTGAGCCCTTCCTGCCGAGGTGGCTTGGTGGCCTCCCAGCGTTGACTGAGCCTGATTCAGTAGCTTTGTCAAAATCGCCCTTGGCTGGCTAAGTGCTCTGTCTGTAGCTGAGTTTACAGGGCAGTCAAGTGAATGTTCTTTTCAAAGCGGGGGGCATGTGCACCCGGTAAAAGACCCCCCGCCTGGCTTGAGCCTCTAGATGCCTCAGCAGCGGAAAGGGGAATTGGGAGGTCACGGTGAGGAGGGGAGCAGAGGAGCAGAAGATACCTTAATAGAGGTGAATATGTGTAGCTCAGGGTGGAACTGTGGAGTCCCTGGGGTTCTCTCCAAGGACTCCAAAGGTCCCTTAAGCCCAGAGGGGGAGGGGCGTTTTCCTCTTCCTGGCCTGGGTTCCCCTAGAGCTGCCCCACATATCCCTCCCTCCCTGGTGCAGTCCCGGGTAGAGGCGGCTGCGCTGTGCCTGGCCCCCGTTTTCAGAGGAGTCCCTGCGCTGCTCTGCCCCGTGATGCCGCCCGTCTCTTCCCCTGTGGAGTCAGTCGCAGGTCCAGCCTGGGAGGGGGCTGCCATGAGACCCTCCGCCTGTCCCCGCATCGAGCAGTGGTTCTGAGACGGGGGGTACAGTAATTTGTGCATATCCTGGGAGTAATGGAGCAATTCGTAATTGCTTGTTTCTGAGTTGAGGATTTAGTTTGGGGCTGCCGCCGCCGAGGCGCTTGTGCAAAACCGCGCGCGTGTTTTTGGGGGGATTTTGACGTTGGCCGGGAAAAGGAGGAATTGGGTTAAACAGCTCGAGCAGCCCTGGCCCTGGCACGAAGGGGGAGGGGAGTACCCAAGCCGGCCCCTCCGCTTTGAATTTACTACTGACGTGGAACCGCGTTTATTTCGTGCCTTCGGCTCCGTCTCGACTGCCGGACCGGCCGGAGGCTTAGCCCCTCGGCGCAGCCCGCCGAGCGGTGCCGCGGCGGCCCCGGCGCCCCGGCAGCGCGGGCCGTCTCCCG